GAGTCTGTGCTGTGCTTTTGTCACTTGTTAAATTACTATGTAAATAAAATGGTGTCAGTACTGAATGGTAATGATTAACATCCTTCAAGCGCAAACAATAAAGTGAGTAAAATGAGTTCTGGGAAGTGTTTTCATGTCCTGACTGTTGGGAACAGTTCAGCTGCTATCAGTGCTGCTCTGATGTCTGTTTCCTGGCAGGTTTTATAACAGTTGTGTTCATGTCAGTCCCATGTCTGCAATCTGACCAGTGACCAGCTTTTGAAGTCATTTATACAACAAAGTGACAAAAAAATGTGTTTTTGAGATTCTCATTTGTGTCAAATGCTCAGCCAAAAAGATGTTGTTCACGCTGACAACAAGTGTTTAGGGGTGAACCGAAGAGTTGTCGTGGCCGAGTGGTTAAGGCGATGGACTAGAAATCCATTGGGGTCTCCCCGCGCAGGTTCGAATCCTGCCGACAACGAGTGTTTTCATACACTGACTTTGACAAAGACCTCAAAGAGAGTTCAGCTGTTCTGACACCAGTTTCAACTCAGGTTTTAGAACAGTTCTGTTCGTTTCCGCCTAATTTCTGTCATCTGACCAGTGAATAATAAAGTTCTGACCAAAAGTTGGAGTTTCTTCAAGTGGGTTCAAAACCTGCAGACATCCATCCATTATCTGTCCATCCATCCATTATCTATACACCGCTTAATTGTCTGTAGGGTCGCAGGGGGGCAGGAGTCTATCCCAGCCGACTCAGGGCGAAGGCAGGGGACACCCTGGACAGGTCACCAGTCTATCACAGGGCTACACTTAGAGACAGACAACCAAGCACACTCACATTCACACTTACGGACAATTTAGAATCACCAATTAACCTCAACATATTTTTGGACTGTGGGAGGAAGCTGGAGAACCCAAAGAGAACCCACACTGCACGGGGAGAGCATCCAAACTCCACGCAGAAAGATCCCTGGAGTCCAAACCGGAACATGAACTGGGGATCTTCTAGCTGCGAACCACTGAGCCACCTTGCAGCCCCCTGCTGACAGCAGTTGTTCTCATTTCCTGACTGTTAATGCAGCATTGTTTAGATAGTTGGTACGTGTCAAAGAACCATCTAAATGCATACCAGAGCCCAAGGTTTCCCGGCAGAGCATTGCATTGTAAAAGGATAATCAGTGTACTGGTAACTGAGTGTGTCTGAATTCCCAGAATTACATGACACAACTTTGTGGATATATCAGGAGTTGGGAAGGAAAGCCTTTGCTTGAAAACAGGCTGCCATCCAAGCTCAAATGTCAGCTGTGTTCAATCAGTTATCTATACACCGCTTAATCCTCACAAGGGTCGTGGGGGGACTGGAGTCTATCCCAGTCTATAGCAGGGCTATGCTTAGAGACAGACAACCAAGCACACTCACATTCACACCTACAGACAATTTTTAATTGGTGATTCAAAATTGTCAACATGTTTTTGGACTGTGAGAGAGGAAGCCAGAGAACCCACACTACACAGGGAGAACATGCAAACTCCACGTAGAAAGATCCCAGGTGTCCTCATCGGGACGCAAACTGACAGCCTTCTTGCTGTGAGGCAATGGTGCTAACCACTGATCCACCTTGCAGCTCTCAATCACTCAGTCAATCAATCAGACCTTATTTATGTTGCACTTGTCATACAAACAGAAATGCCACACAAAGTGCTTTTCAGACAACAAATAAAAATCCAATCAAACAATACAAATAGTAAACTTGGTTGAAGAAGGACCAGACTGACATGCTGACTGACTTTCAGTGGAATCAGCTTTCACTCCTACAGCTACAACTTTTATCAGATGAGAAAGAAAATACTTTGTTTTCAGTTCGTTTAATAAGAAGACTTTAGCAGAACAGTCATTGCAGATGGTTGCTTCCTGTAGGATTTGATCAAAGAGTCTTTTAGAAGAATATTACCCATCTTGTGGTCAAGAAATGGAACTAAAACTGATCACTGATGTTACTTTTGAATCTTACTGTTGTTAGAAAGAATAAAATTCAGACATTTCCGAAGCTCAAGTTTATTTCAGTTTAAGGAACTCTGGTTGTTTGTCTCTAACTTTTCCATGATCATCCAACTCAAATGTAAAATATCTTGGCTTAGTCTTGTAGGAAATATGAGCTGGTTGTAAATATCCTCAGACATTTCCATCCTTTGCCTGTTTACCTGCTGCAGTTCTAAATGTTTGGAGATTCTCCACACATGCTGAAGTTGATGTTGACAACAGTTGTTTTAATGTATGGACTATTTATGTGACATTATTTAGTTAGTTGGTATGTGTCAAAGTGAAATCCACATGCATACGGAGACTCAAGGTTTCATTGTAACAGGATGATCACGATTATTCACTTTAAATGTGGTTTTAATGTTGTAGCTGATCACTATGTTCAGCCTCTGCTCACAGGGGATGTAGTTCAGTGGTAGAGCATGTATGAGCCCCTGGTTCAACCTCTGGCATCGCCTCAGTTTGTAGTTTGTCCTTGTGACAAACATTTTGCATGTGTGCACAAGATGAGAAAGGACAGAGATGTGACTCAATGTTCTTTGCTCAGTCAAATAAAGACGCTTGTGTTCTTGCTTCCTGCTGATGTGATCTTTCAGTGAAGTCTGTCTGTGAAGTTGTTCTTCAGAAAAACAAGTAATGGTTACCAGAGAAACAGGATGATGTTCTGACTGTACAAGTGGTTTTAGAAGCATTCATTATTTAACTGAACTGTGCTGACACCAGTTCCTCTTTGGGTTTTCAAGAGGATAGCGAGTGTTATATATGTAAATCTACTGTTGGGTTTCTATTGGACGTAATCTGGCTTTTGTACACAGACAAAAGCCTCTCTGCGATGGCCGGGAATCGAACCCGGGTCAACTGCTTGGAAGGCAGCTATGCTCACCACTATACCACCATCGCTGCATTATGGGATGAGTTTTGTTGCCAGCTCAGCAGTTTATGAGCTGACTGAGAGAGGAGGAGGAGAAAGAGGGAGGAGGAGCAGAGGAGGAGAAGAGGGAGGGACACCAGAGAGACAAGAGCTTCTTTCACTGCTGCTTATTCACTGCTGCTATTTCTACATGATCCAAGGGGGCTTCACCAAACCATATGTACAGTGTGACTTTCTTATTTCCAGCCTTTATGGTGATGCGATCTGGAATTATTCTCTGATTAACAGAGAGTTTTCATATGCAAATCTACTCAGATGCTTAGGTTTGAGATCTGTACTTGTCAAATCTGCTACCCTCTAGCGCAGTGGTAAAACACATTCTTTGCATGTATGAGGCCCTGGGTTCAATCCCTGGCATCCCCATGTACCTTTGTGTTTCCTCTCTGATCTACTGCTGTGATTAAATGCAAAGCTTGAAGCATTAAGTTTCTTGTGGTCCTCTGATCCTTGTCTTCAAGGCAGATGACTAACTGCAGTTAACGAGCTAGACTGAGGAACAGAAATGGAGAGAACAGCAGAGAGTCTGTGAAATATGGTCTACTGATGAGGTATGAAGGTCAGGATCAAACAGAAGTATAAAAAAACACAATCATTTCTTGGACATCATATTAAAATAGCTCCGTTTTAACCTGTTCAGTGAGTTGAAAGCAGCATTATGGTCGGTGGTGAGTGATCATGTCTGTACTTGAGAGGAGGTTGTATCTGATGCTACCAGCAGATGGCAGCACATGTTTGCCACATTCAGCAGTGACTGGAAATGTAAATGCTCCAGCTTTCAGATCAGTCTGAGGCAAACCCCTCCACAGCCGAGCTCACCGCCCACTCTTCTGTGATGCTTTTAGAAAGAGGAAGAGTGGGCCCAGGCTGCAGATAAACAGAAACACTTCGCACACTTTAACCACTCGGGTTTCCCTGATGCAAAACCAGTCGTAGATACTGCCCATGACTAAATATGAGCAAATAGAAGGTAGTAAAGGGCTTTGCTGAAGCCTGATTCATCCTTATCTGAACGATCTGGCTACTCGATGGGGAATCCAGGAAAACCCACATGAAGCAACTTCTAACTAAAAGGCTCTTTGGGTTTTTTTCAGCACTTTATTTGCTCTTTACTGCTAAAATACTGAAGAATATGTAGCAGGAGCGTTCTAAGTCATACTTCATGGTTAGTGATGACTACTCACTGTCTTCAGTTTTTTTGTTGCAGAAAAAAATACATGTATTTTTGTTGGCAATATCTATGAGAGAATTAAATGTTCAAATAATAATCCAGAGGAGATGGGAACGTTTCACATTTTAACATAAACTGAGAGACACACAATGTAATGTTTAATGCTCTGACGCACTTTACTCACTCTTTTAGTCATGCTTGTACCATTTCTGACCTTGACTGAACTGTCTGGACAACTCCTGGATGGATAGTTGGGCTTCTCTGATTTAGACATTCATGGATGAAGCATACCCGACAAGTTCATTTTTGTAGGTTTAAGGGAATGTCTCAACTACTGAATTAATTGAGGTGACTTTTGGTACACACAGGTAGGATAAATTGTTGAAACTTATAATAATAAGTCTTTATTTCTCCAATTCTTTGGTTTGTTTATGACCAAATTCTTGATTGATTAAATGATTGTATTCCCATCAGAATAACAGACATGCACTATAGCCGTTGTAGAAAACGACACTTCACTTCCCTGTAATGTGAGGTAGGGGAAACTAAAGTGTCCCCATTCGCATAATACTGGTCACCAGGTTCTGTCCTGTCAGCGAGCTTGTTTAACATTTTCATATCATCATGCTGCATCAGATATCAAACACTACAGCACCACAGTTACACAGAACTGTAGCTGAACAGTCATTAGCTTTTATTGGAAAAAGAAAGTAGAAGTCAGCAGAGTGAATGTGAAACATTCTGACTTACTCAAGTTTTGAATTTCATTCTTTTCTCCAGGAATCTCCCCGAGTCATCAAGAAACAAATCCTAGATGAATAATCTGTTTAAAGTATGAACTAGTTGAGGCAGTAGTGAAAGACACACAGACAAAATGGGCTTTTGATTTTATTACATTTATTGACTGACGAACACATTTCAAACTCTCGATAATTTCTTTGCTTAATACCAAGGAAAAGAGAAGTTAATAGTTTTTTTTCAGTAAAAAGCAGACCTCATCTCACTGGATGTACAGAACACACAACAGATATCACATGCATTCCACAGAAGCTTTGTTTGCTGAGCACAACATGGCTATTAATATTCCACAGGAATTACAAAGAGGAGTTCATTAGGAACTATATAGTACATACATGTTTGCGTAGTGCACACATACTTTTTAAATGATAAAATGACATCGTAAAGTTTCATAAGAAAAGAAAATAGCATTAATTGTTTTTTTTTTTACTGGGATAATTACCACATTAAAAAAATAAAGTTTAAACATCTCACACAAAAGTGAGGGAAATTAGATATTTAATAGATAATGCTTATTTAGACACAATGCGTCTCATCCAACCACTGTCCTGCAGTGTTGTCCATTTCAGGCAGAGCTGAGTCCATCCAGTCCAAGTCACTCAGACTCTTTCACTGTATCAGTGAACCATGTCCGTTTATTGAAACATAAATGTGCAGTTGATTTCAACCAGTTAGGCGTTAGCCATATTCTGAGGTGGGGGGGCCTGTCACCAGTTTACAGTAACCTGACAAGGCCCCTAAGTCAATGTACAAGGAGCCCTTTCTCCTCATGTGGCCTGAGTCTTCAGAGTAAAGAGAGGATTCTGCAGACAAGAGAAAAAGGAGCATGTGTTAAAACAAGGCATGCATCTTATTGTTCATCTCAGGAAACACATTGAGCTCAGCATCTAGATCCTTACCCTGTGTGGTGTCGTGGTGCTGGCTCTGCTGTCGTAGCATGGTGTGGGTGGCCTCCTCTAGAGCTGAGTCAAGGCTCCAGCAGCGTGGCTGATCCTCCCTGGGTGGGTTGATGGCCTCGTCCTTCAGCAGATCGGACGCCGAGCTCCGCAGAGCGGGGTTTTTCTCCAGGGCTCGCTCCAGGAAGGATCGCATAGCCAGGCTGCAGTCCTCTGCTATGTCCTCCAGAGGGGGGGCCTGCTTGTGGATCTGTTGGGAGACAGATAAGACAGCAGTTAGGAAACTGTATCATGAGAGGGGAAAAAAACCTTCAACAAAACAAGACAGTCAGTGCTTGAAAATATCCAAAACAACTGGGCGCGTAGAAGTCCTCAGCAGCTGTGACCCAGTTTTTATTGTCTGAATGTCATCGTGAGTAACAGCTTGTAAAACAAGTTTGGTTGTGGGAAAAAGGAACCGTGAGCAGCAGCACAGCTCAGCCTGTTGAAGTGACTTTAACATGTAACATCACTTCTGCACGACTGCAGTTTCACGAGGAAGTGAGTAACTGTCACAACTTTAAAAAAGCTGATAATCATTTCAGAAACAGGACTTGAAAGCAAAGAACCCATGTAATGGAACACTAGAAATAGAAGTATTGACGGAGCAAGTGGGCTATAGGTTACACACTGCAAACAGCCTCTTTATCTCGTGGCAATCTAGACTGTCGAGGGCCTGAATAAGGTCATGGAAACGTGTCACTTTTTAAAATGTAGGAAGATAAAGACACAAGATACTGTCTCTATTGAGGCATGAACGTGAGCTAACAATAGTTTCAAGTATCTGTAATGCTAACAGATAATCAGAACCCAAAGTGTGATTTGATAATAGCGGTCATTGTGATGTAAATGTATGAACCGGCCACAGGGTGTTGAGTTTCTTCTACTCTTAAATAAGTTTTCAAAAATGAATCCTTTCTTTTCTTTTTTACCTTAAAATGCTGGACACCTTTGTTAAATTCTTCTATAATTTGATTGTGCTGACATGTTAAATAATTCCTTGTTTGCAATGGAAACAGGCCATAAATTCAACACTAACACATCGTCATCTTATATAGGTGGAATAGTTACTTGCTCACAAAAGATTCCCATGTTATACGTACATATGGTCGATACATAGGAACATCTGGGGACGTGTTTGTTATCTGATCAATAATATTCAGCCTTCTTTCAGTTCTGTTTTGGTCTCCACCAACTCCTGAGGGAAATATCTGGTACGTAAGCTGATAAATGCTCCACTAAGTCCACCGGCTACATGCATATGAGGGTTTTTACAGCATTTTAACAAAAAGCAGCAGCTGAATATGGTGCCAAAAGAAATGTAAGATTAACTCAGTCAAGTTGCAGGCTGTTAAAACCGTAACAAAAAGTGGAACGATGCTAAAATACTCAGGTGCAGAGTCAATTCAATGTGGATTCATCGCTACAACTGACCCATTTCACATGCAATGAGCCATGCAATTCATTGTTTATCTGCTAACATGCAAAGTTGCACAAAAAAACAGATGAAGCCGATAGGAGTGCCACTCAGTTTGAAGGTTTGAAACCAAAGCATGTAAAGTTCAAAGTGGAGTCTGTGATTCTGGAGAAAGATTGTTGATATTTAGCAAGCCACATTTACTGTCGCTCCTGCTCCCCACCTGCCTTGCTGTGCACAAATGTCTACCGGCTGATGGCAAACAATAGAAACGTTTTCATCCTTTGAGGATGATGAATGTCTCCTCCAATCCTTTGCTGATAATTCATCCAAGAGTTGTCAAAACAATCTAAATCTGGAAGCCTCTCCAATAGTTGTAGAGTTATATCAATACGAGGCAATCGACAAACCAACGCTGCCATTCTAGAGTCGTGCTGTAAACAATTAAAGAATAAAAAATGTGCAGTACTTACAATGTAGAGGTAGGATGGGTAGGCAGTGCGTGGGTATCTCCTGACCCAGGGAGGACTACCAGTCTGCATGTGAATAATGGTGGTGCCCAGGCTGTAGATGTCTGTCTTGGTGTCATGTCCTCGACACAGAACCAGCTCTGGACTCATATACATCTGTAGAACACAAGGGCAACGATACATAAATTACATAAAAAATCCCTGCAGAACATAATGGTAGAAAAGGGGGTGAAAATGGTTCCTCTTTTGTTTGTGTTCCATTCAAATTGCGTTTATCAGAAAAGAGAACAAACAGGAAACGTGCTATTGCAGCATCAGGGGCTTTCTGTCTGCAGTAAACAAGCTAACCTTTAGACCCACGCAGCATGTGTCAAGGTGAGGACAGTGCAGAAGTGTGCTGGCCTTTGGAGTGTGAAGAGTAAACACACTAGTTGAGTTCATCTTTTTGTCTGTCACTGCTGGAAATTCCACCCTGCTCTTCCATGTTAGTGTAAGCCTGAGCAGTCCAGCGTACTCGCATGCACTGCATTTCTTATTATTGCCGCCGGGTGTCTGCCCTGGGACTTTCCACAAGCCAGACCATGAGAGGCCCAGTGTGCATATACAAAGGGCCATATAGACTGACAGGCAAACAGGTGAAAACATGGGAAAGCAAGAAAAGGAAGGAGGAAAGGCGTGTGAAAAATCTCTTGGATTAATCCATAAAATTTCCCAAGTACTGATTAAAACGGAGGACTCTGAGCATGAGCAAACTATTATTAGCAGCTCTGAGGTCAGCGAGTGCACTGACTGCTCTGCACTAATGCTTAGCGATCACTGACTCTCTATAATCATTTTGGAAAAGACAGACAAGCGCTGACAAGTCTTGAGACTAATTTGTTAAAAACCCTGGGGAAGTTTGGCCTGAGTCAAGAAGACTGCTGCCTTTTCTAGCTCAACACACAAGCTCAACATCAGCAAGAGGAGCGAGCATTGATTGAAGGAAGCAATTAACTAAAACAGAAGACTTGCATTCATTACAGACATGCATCCTGTAAAGGCAGCATGATGTCTCTGGCTTGTTTTCTTACCTCTGTTCCTCTCAGGTCTCTAGGAATGTATATATCTTCCGTCATCTGTACCGCCAGGCCGAAGTCCACCAGGACTGCCTTGTCTGACATCAGGACTATGTTACTGGCTGAGGAGAAGTAAAAAAAGCACGAGTTATGATTTACAGGTGTTGTAGAGGCACCATCAGCAAGAGCAGCAGCTGCACACAGCATTTTTTATGCTTTGCTGCACAGACGGGCAGAAGTGTTTTGCTTGTGGCACCGTTTGTATTAATTTCAACTGTGAAACAGCCACTGAATCCTTTAAAGAAGTCTAGTAAGTCACAGGCTTTTAGCGAAGGAATTTTAGAGATAATTTAAGGGCAAAGCTCATCCTTGTCCCTAAAACCTCACCAAGGTATAATTACATATTTTGATTGCAGGCAGGAAACGCTAAGAACCACAGCAACGTGTCAGAGGGCCAGGCTGGCCATTGTCGTAAGTCACTTGCCACTGTGGACCCTACATTTAACCCTGGGAGCATGAGAAGCAGGCTGGAATTTCCAGACAGCAAACAGCCTGTAGCCATGAGGCTGACAGACGGCTCTGGAGAATGCTTTGATCCCTGCAGCGCTGATGTGGTTCAGCCAACGTGAAACTACCTCCCATCAAACCTCAGCTGAGCCACACCTACTCTATCTAGTCAGTATTCATGTGATCTCAGGCATTAGTCACCAGGTTTTTATCAGCGTTATGTGATTATCTTTGATGACTTCCTCGAAATGCACTTGTTAAGTTCACATTGTAGTAAAATACTCTGCCCAACAGTCAGATTTCAGCGGTCCACTTAGTTTACAGTAATTTAGACTGATTCATCAGTTTCCTGCTCAAAAATTATTTACAAGAACTGGATCAGTCTGTGGCTTTGCTTTGACGTAAAGAAGGCAGAAGCTGATATTACATCATTTCCTCAACCCTTTACACAAGTTCACGAACATGCAAGCACGTCCACAATGAAAAACATTTTTCTCTTCTCCTTACGTTTGATGTCATGGTGGATGACGTTGTGTGAGTGCAGGTACTCCAGGCCCCGCAGAACTTGCTTGGTCACCCAGATGATCTCAAACTCCCTCATAGGTCCGCAGCTGTCCACCTTCTCTAGGACTGAGCCACCCTCACCAGCCTCCATGAACAGGTGGACGCTCTGGTCCCAGAGCAGAGCGCCGTACAGCTCAGCGATGTTCTCATGGCGCAAACGGGCCTGGAACTCCACATCAGCGGCTTTAAAGTTCTCCATGGGGATCTGGGGAGGAGATAATGAGATGTAAATATGGTACCTCATGGTTCAATTCAAAGGAATAGTTTATGATACGTTTGAGAGTTGAGAAGATCAATACCAGGGTCCTATCCGTCTGTTAAATGTGAGCTGGAGCCAACAAGCTCGATTTGTTGTCAGTCGAATGCACCTTTGTGTTTGCTCATGATAATGGCAGCTGCCCTTCGTAAAGGAATCATTACCTTCATTCTAATCACATTTTCAGTGCATCTTCATCTGTTTTCGTCTTGCCTGTATGTAGGTGAAATGGTGTCCTCAGTAAAAAGCATTCATCTTGTTTTATGTTACTTTGGGGGAAAAAAATGTCTGCTTCCTTGCTCCCCAAAGACAAAATAGTCTAAAATTTCCCCCTCACATCCAAAATACTGTAGCTACGGTATTTTGTATATTTAATATATAGTAAATAAATAAAGTGCAAGCCTTTAAAAGGACATGTGCTCTCTCTCTGCTTTTAACAGCATTAGCCAGACGGCCTGAAACTCTGCTTAACTTAGCGTAGCATAAATTCTAGATGAGCGAGAGCAGGCAGCTAGCTTCTCAAGGTTAATGCACCAAGTGACTTCTGAAAAACTCACAAATTAACTGGCTCAGCTAATTCAGAAGTTCTGGTTCAACTGTAGGTTAAACTAATTGGATAATTTTTTTTAAAAAAAAGAAAAGAAAAAAAGGGATACAAGTTGTGCTTATGTTTAATTGTCAAGTGAATTCAAAGCAAACTTGTGAAATGTTCCATAAATTTAAAAAAAAAAAGGGAATTTTGCTTCCATTAACTGGTTTGGATTTAGTAAACCAGGCTGTGGAGACGTCAGAGGGTGGTGCTGTAATAAACACAGTAGAAGAAGCTGGAAATGAAACCTAACCCGAAGCACAACACTCAACAAGATGCAACAAACAAAACTCTGGTCATCTACCAGAGCAGAATGGAGATAAGTTTTCAGCAATTGTTTTCAACGGGGGGAACGCTGTAAATATTCTTTCATGTCAGCTGGTATTGGTCACGTTTCATGCAGTCAAAGACAAACACAATGAAAGAAAAAGCAGATCAATCATGTGAGTTTAACATTTGCTACGTCAGAACGTATTTAAAAAGGGTGTGTCCATCTTCCATTCTCACGTATAAACACATTGTTGTTTTGTTGTTGTTGTTTTTAAAATTCTTGCACAACATACCAGAGGGGGAAAAACTGCATTTTGTGATTTTGGGGGATGCTTGTAAAATGTTTTTTTTCTCCTTTGGGTGCTCATATTAGCACCCAACAAGCTTCATTTTCAGCATATAGACATAAAAGTAGCATCAATCTTCTCATCTAACTCTGTGCAATGAAATCAATGAGCGCTTTTTAAAATGTCAAACTAGTTTGTTAAATAATGGACCAGTTTTTCAGATACTGAAGTCAGTGTTATTTCAGGTTAAAATACATGTTATGACTCAGATACCAAGCACACACCTAGAGTGGTTCCAGTAAGTCTCTTCAGTGTATTCACAACAGTGTGTACAATGCACTGTGTCAACACAGCATTCAGATGATAACACCAGACTACACAGGAAAGTACTTCTTCCTCATTCGTCAATATTTGCCATGTAGGAAAGAGTAAGCAGTGATCTACGTAGATAAGAAAAAGGGCAGGATGTGTTGTGTAAAGTCTGCCATTTGTTTAAACTAACTCATCAAAGATTCAGAGGTTCTGTAAGAAGTTAGTGCTAAATTTCCATTCTTGCATTACTCTTAGCCCATTTTCTAAGTTTGTTACAAAAGAAAATGGTTCTTCTTTCAAGAGCACTGTTCCTCTTTTACTGCAAGGGAAGACATTTTTTCTGGCATTAACAGCTTTTTACAAGCAGAGGAGTAGTTGCACTGTGAACAAACAGTACTTGGCAGGTAGAATGTTTGGCACCTCGGGCAGGAGTTTCGAGAAATCAAGCACAGGCCGAATTCCAGTCACTGCTCAGCAAGACTCACCAGTTTGCAGGCCATTCTTTTCCTGGTGGTGGTGTCCTGAGCCAAGTGGACTTTCCCAAATGAGCCTTTGGGCACGAGGCTGGAACCGTAATTCTTGTACGTCAATTTCCAAGGAAACAGGAGCACGTCCATGTTGATCTGGTAGCGGCCTTTCTTCACAGCCATGTCCTTCTGCAAACAGAAGTTTACATTAAACAAAGAAGAGAAATCATACCAGCCTCATCATGCCAGAATGTCAGACATTTTATATGCACAGAAATATTCAGTTTTGTTTGGAGACAGTGAAAAGACAAAAAGGACATCAGATTTTCACCTTATTAAGGATGACTCCCATCTCCTTCGGCAGGTGCTGCAGGGCCGCTGCCTGCATGTTGGACAGGAGGTTGACAAAGGACAGCAGATCTGTGACCGTCCCATACTGAACACTACGAACTCCATTCCCGTACTCCTTCGCCTCACCCCCCAAGACACCCAGCTCCCCTGCCTCCTCGTTCTCATCCATCTCCTCCTGGGAGAGACCTTCTTCTTCAAACAGCAAGCCCGCGTCTTCCTCCTCTTCTTCCTCAAGCTGATAGAGAGTCTCTGTAGCGTTGATGATATCCTCTAAGTTCATGTGAGCCAGCAGCAGTTCTATTCCACTGTCATATTTGTAATCCATCTTGCTGCTCGGTGTGTCCTGCTCGACCTAAAATCAAACATCAGGGGGTCAGTTTGTGGACAGTTTTTCTGTTTGGGTTAGAACTTGTTTGTGAACAGTCAGTTCATGGCTTTTGAAAAGTGCATTTGAAGCGAAGGATGCACAGAGACACTGAAGCACTGGAGCTTTGGTACATCTGGCTGAACACACAGCTGGGAGGAGCTTCACTGTTTTCCAAGCAAAGAAAGGGAGTTTCACAATAAAGCTGGGAAGCCCCTTGAAGCGCTCCGACCCTTTATTTTTCACAGCTATGAACTGATCATCTGCTGAAAACTGCTGATCATCTATTATTATTATTATTATTAATATTAAAAAACGGATATTAACAGCTATGAATGTGTTGTGAAAAGAGTCCAGCTGATATACATATAATACTTCATGCAAAACATACACGTGCAGTTTTTTTTTCTTTTTTTCTTTTGAGACCGAGAGATTTCTCTGCCCACCAAAACCACTAGAAAAGCGAAAAATAATAATTTCCTGCCTTTTTTTTATGACACTCTAGAAAAACCTGATTACAATAACAATTCGGGTTGATGTACAAATGTCACAACCTATCCGTAAAATATTTATCTATTTATTTTTCTGCAGAAAATACAGGTTATTAAAAAGTAAGGTGATATAGTACTTGCCGTATTTGAGCCTGAGCCTCAGCGATACTGTGTCTCCATGATGCGTGTTGGGCGCCGGACACAGACTGTGTGTGCGGTGAGAGCAGCTCGGGTTATGTTTGGAAGGAAGTAAACAGGAATCGTAGTCGGTCTGCGCGTAGGTGGAGACGTCTTTAATGTCAGGTGACAGAGTTTTGCTCTGCGAAGGTTTCGTTTTCCTTTTCTTCGGTTTGCTCAGATGGAAAACAAACAGAGAAAAAAACTAATATTCCACACATTGGTCGCGTGGTTTCCTGCGGGGAAATATTATAATATATTATTAATGTGACGCATAGTAGAAAAGCAACACATGAAAGGCGTTTAAGGCCATTCATGTCTGAAAAGGAAAAATGGCGAAATTCAAAATGAAATTTAAAGCTAGGGCTTTATAGCAGCTACCAAAGACACTGATACAAAATTGGCAGTTGTATATTTGCGTTACTATCGCTCATATTTTTTTAATTGTCATGATGTGTCGTGTCCTCTTTGGCCCCTCTCGGTTGCCGTAGGCAGAACCAAACGCATGCGCATTTCTGCCTAGGTCTTAGCAGCAATGGCGTCCTCCATCGCAGTGTGCAGGTTACATATGACGAGAAGGGTCAGGCTTGTGAAGTCCCTACAGAAAGTTGAGACGTTTCTTCAGCGAAGTATTGGGACAGACGTTGTCGCTGCCCAACCCGAAGCACCTACGAGAGACGAAAGTGGTTGGTATTGCTGTTAGCCTTTAGATTAGCCCTGACACATACCGCTGTCTACTGTGTGTGACTGTCATGTCCAAACTCCATTGAGAAAACGTAGTACTTTGGCTAGCTTCGCTGAAACCCTAAATGCGTAATATAATTAATAGAATTTGAGAAACTTTTAAAAAATGGTCAGTGTTTACGTAAAATTCGGCGTGTTGTTTATTTGTATACAGAGGTTCTCAAATTCAGTAAAATCTTCTCCAAAAGCGATTCTTCTGTCGTTCGGATAAGACGTAGTCTTTGTTAATGGTGCGTTGTAGATGATATTCATGTCAAATTGAAAAGTTGTTTCTTCAGCTGTGCTATATCACATATGAAGCCAGTGTTTGCGATGTGTGGATTCAGTGGTTTACAACAGAAGGAAATACACACGTGGGCAAAATTATTGGTACCCTTCGGTTAATGAAAGAAAAACCCACGATGGTCACAGAAATAACTTGAATCTGACAAAAGTAATAATAAATAAAAATTCTATGAAAATTAAGCAATGAAAATCAGATATTGCTTTTGAACAGTGGTTTAACAGAATCATTTTTTAAAAATAAAGTCATGAAACAGGCCTGGACAAAAATGATGGTACCCTTAACTTAATGTTTTGTTGCACAACCTTTCGAGGCAATCACTGCAATCAAACCATTTCTGTAACTGTCAATGAGACTTCTGCACCTCTCAGCAGGTGTTCTGGCCCACTCCTCATGAGCAGACTGCTCCAGTTGTCTGAGCTTTGAAGGGTGCCTTCTCTGGATGGCATGTTTCAGCTCTTTCCACAGATGTTCAATAGGATTTAGATCAGGGCCCATAGAAGGCCACTTCAGAATAGTCCAATGTTTTCCTCTTAGCCATTCTTGGGTATTTTCAGCTGTGTGTTTTGGGTCATTATCCTGTTGCAAGACCCTTGACCCGCGACTGAGACCTTGATAGTCTTGAGATTTCATTGGAGCCTGCACAGATTCAAGACACCCTGTGCCAGATGCAGCAAAGCAGCCCCAGAACATAACAGAGCCTCCTCCATGTTTCACAGTAGGGACAGTGTTCTTTTCTTAATATGCTTCATTTTTGCATCTGTGAACGTCGAGCTGAAGTGCCTTGCAAAAAAGTTTCAGTTTTGTCTCGTGTGTCCATAGGACATTCACCCAGAAGCTGTGTGGCTTGTCAACATGCAGTTTGGCAAATTCCAGTCTGGCTTTTTTATGATTAGTTTTCAACAATGGTGTCTTCCTTGGTCGTCTCTCATGAAGTCCACTTTGACTCAAACAACGACGGATGGTGTGATCTGACACTGATGTACCTTGACCTTTGAGTTCACCTTTAATGTCTTTACAGGTTGCTCTGGGCTCTTTTGTTACCATTCGTATTATCCGTCTCTTGGATTTGTCATCAGATTTCCTCCTGCAGCCACGTCCAGGGAGATTGGCTACAGTCCTATGGATCTTAAATTTCTGAATAATATGTGCAACTGCAGTCACAGGAACATTAGCTGCTTGGAGATGGTCTTACAGCCTTTACTTTTAACATGCTTGTCTATAATTTTCTTTCTAATCTCCTGAGACAACTCTCTCCTTCGCTTCCTCTGGTCCATGTTTAGTGTGCTCCACACCATGTCACCAAACAGCACAGTGACTACTTGTAACCCTATAAATAGGCTGACTGACTGATTACAAGTTTGTAGACACCTGTGATGCTAATTAGAGGACACACCTTGATTGAACATGTCCATATGGTCACATTATTTTCAGTCTTTTCTAGGAGTACCTTCATTTTTTAAAAATAATTCTGTTAAACCACGGTTCAAAAGCAATTCCTGATTTTCATTGCTTAATTTCCATAGAATTTTTATTTATTTTTACTTTTGTCAGATTATTTATGTGACCGTTGTGGGTTTTTCTTTCATTAACCGAGGGGTACCAACAATTCTGTCCACGTGTGCACCTGTGCAGTGTCACGTTAAAGTTAAATGACTCAAAAGTCCATCACCTCAATCATTGCACTGTTGCAGTGAATTCACAGTCCTGACAGTGAAACACAAAGGTGAAGTGAGAGGATATGGGGCTGCATGTGTATAAAAGGCATAGGGGAGATGACATTTCTAACTGGCACCATGAATGTCTGTGGATATACCAAAATATTGACTGGCAAGATGACTCCCAGTCTGCAGCAGCTTGGCAGAGGAGGAATACTGATCATGATAACCATCCAAAGCACTCTGCCAAAATCACACAAGAGTTTCCAAAGTGAAAAAATACAAAACTATAACCTGGACAAGTATGTCATCTGACTTGAATCCAACAGAACACCTTTGGGGTATTTAAATGAGAAAGGCAGAGCAACACAACCCCTCCAGGAAAGAACATCTCTCCAGAAATAAGTACAGCACTAGTGTCCTCCATAAAGGTGGACAGAAGGAAATATTAAGAAAATATAGATTTGGATTTCAGTAGTAAAAGGTTTAGTGGCATTTGTTGCATTGAGCACCTACTGTGGAAACTAAATTTTAATTTAGAAAACCGAAACAATTTTTAAAAGGTCCCATGTGGTGAAACTCAAATTTTCTTGTGCTTCTTGTGTGAGATTGCTATGTATCTCTTAAGTAAAGTAATAGTTGTTATGGTAAGAGGACTATTAAGCCTCCCAGCTTTACAGGTGTGTCAGGACTAGACTGAGCCTCTATGTAACAACTAACCAGGGGTCCGTTTCACAAAGCAGGTTTAATGAAAACTCTCAGTCTGTTAACCCTGAAACCTCATTTGCTGAAATAAGGTTCAGGGTTAACAGACTCAGAGTTTTCACTAAACCTGCTTTGTGAAATGGACCCCAGTAGTCATCCAGCTCAAGCTACAACTGACAGCTGACAATCACAGATGTAGTCAGTTGGTTTTTCCTGAAGATGGCGGCCACAGCAGCAGCTTACTGGTTTTCAGAGCAAAACAGCTCTTTCAGAACAGCCCTAAAACCAGGGTTAATACAGTCATGGTGAAATGAGATGTTTTTGCAGTATTTTGAGCTGGAAAACTGAAAAACATGCAGTGGGGACATGTGAGGCTTCCTTCCTTCCTTCCTTCCTTCCGTCC